TATAATTTTGACCATTGTGCCATTTATCCAGCTTTCACCATGTTACTGGGTGTTTCCCTCATCCTTAACGTAAACAACAATTAGCAACATCCTCACATACTACTGAAGTTAATTTAAATTCATTTTACACTATTGTTGCTACTGTTATCAATGTAATTGCAGCTCCTGATGATGATGGCAAAGACCATTGATAGCTAGAGAGAATAAAAAAAGTATAAAGTGTCCTCCTTGCTTAAATTTTGTCGAAGTACCCAACAAAAGGCGGAAGCTTTAATTTTTCACCTAACTGGTCTAGACGACAGTAACCACGTCTCAAGTATATTATATATATATATATATATATACGTATATATAAATTTTAACGTTGACCAACATTCCATCTTGTCCAGATTTATGTTATAAGAGTTCAATAGTAGGTCATCGTTAACATTCACATATGCGGTACTTGTTATTGCCAAAACTCTCTATAATGAAACAACGACTGCATTATTCCGTTAATCGGCACACACAATTTTTTGCAGCACACAAAGTGTCACCAACGATGCGGTAAATCGGATACTACATAAAAGCGTGCGTTAAAGCCCTAACGATGCAATTGAAATATTTCCCCTGAATTTTATTGCGCCCACATTGGTACATCTTGCGAACTTTAAAGTAATGATATGATAAACTAGGAGTCAAAAATGGGCTTATCGAATTAATTGGAGTTTCGCGCCTCACAACTAAATGCTTCAGTTTAGCGCAATTTTAATGAATCCAAAATTGCGTCAAAAATCGTTTGAACTTCGCCCGATCAAAAAAACTCGCACAAGATTTTTTCAGGTTTATTGGGTCATTCCAGAAGCTTTTTCTAATATATTAAATTACTTATAGCTAGTAAATTATGAACTTTAGAATCGATGACAGTATTCAGGAATTAAGTTCTACTAATCCCCATGTTTGTATGGGTATGGTTTAATGGGAATTAACCCCTTAAGTGGCTGTAGATGCTTTCAGCGATGACTTCTCAGGTGGCACATGATTTTATCGCTTGCGTACGTATTCGTCGTTGCCACTGATAATAGACGCGCAGGCGTACATATTTGTCAAAGTCACGTGAATTGGGTTACTCTAAATGAAGTGCGTACATATACTATGGTAGTACTGTTTTAAAACAAGAAATGCACATAAGATTACTTATTGAATAGTAGAAAATATTATTCCTTCGTATGGTACATCGCAAAAAAAGGTGCAGGACAGAGACCAGTACGGCACTCTAGGCACCAATAACGACTCTCTTTTCGCTTCTTTCTTTCAGCACATACAACGCGTCGGAAGAAAAACGCAATAAGACAAACGTAGAGTGATAAGTTTTTGACTTACCTTTTTTTCGGTTTTGCTTTTCTTGTTGGTGGTATTATCGATTATCGATCTTGTGGGCATTGGCGTTCTGGACCTTCTTTTTTTATTTGTAACGGCTTCCTGTATTTTTACACTATTTTTTTTGACCCAGCTCCAGTCAAAAGTTCAGTCTTTTTAGTTTTCCGCCATTCTTCTTATAAATTTGAAAGGCATTCAACGTAGTGACACTTAAAAAATATAGAAACATCTTCATGTAGTATTTTTTAACTCTAGTACGAGCAATTCAATAAAAGTGAAGGTAATTTTTAATTGTAATCGATTACGCAAGATAGCTTTTCAATATCCCCACTCCTTATTGTAATTTTTTTCACAGTGTCATCGTGGACTGTGCTTATCATAAGGACGTCTTTCTTGTCGCGTCATTTCTGAATCATGAGTTTTCTTCTAAAACGTGCTACAGTTATAATTTTACTTCTAATTCCAGTGGTATTCCTTTTCTATTTATTCTCATTGTTTCAACGCTATCCGTTCTTCTTTTTACTAGTTTGTCGCATAGGTCTATGCTCATTTAATAATTATCTAAAAACAGGCGGTATTCCTAATCTAAAGGAGGACGAATCAATGTCAACACTACCCTCGAAGTAGTGGTTCATTTATATACAAAGCTTTGTTTTCAGTATCCGCGCCAGTATAAACTAAAATGTTGTACATGTAATCACTGCGGCTTTCACATAAGGTAAACATTTTCATGCCAAATCGGTTCCTTCTTTTCGAGGGTATGTACTGTTTCCAAGCAAGTCTGCCTATCCATGTTATCAAGGACTTATCTATGGCTGTTTTGTTCTGGTACATTAGCTGACATATACTTTTTTTTAACAAATCCAAAACTGGAAAACTTTGATCAATTTTCGGATTTATGTATGGATTTATAGAAGAATTATTTACAAAGAGTAAAAACTTTAGCAACAAATCAAATCGTCTCTCACCAATAACTTTAGAGAAAAAAGGGGTCCCGATGCTCTCTTGTCGTGAAAAGTACATTTTGGACTCAGGCTTAGGACAGATGCTGTGTAATATTAGCAACCCGATATGGGTCCTAATTTCATTACTATCAAACCATTTTTTAGCTTGGGAATTTGACTTGAGCTTATCTTTATTCGAAGAAATGTACTGCGATGCATATCTGTTTGTTTCTCTGACTATTATATCCATTAGATTATCATCTGAAAAATATTCAAAAATTTGCCATACATCCTTTAAAATGTTTACCTGTACACCACTGTTTGACGTAAAATGGAACGCTGGCCTAGGAATCCCGTTCTCTGTCCAGAGCATTTCCAAATTTGGATCAAAATCAAGTTCATGCTCACTTTCGGTATCACTCTCTTCAAAATCCTCGTTTCAATTAGAATCATTATCTGATTCGTCATAACTAGTGCACTGACTCTCATCACCACTGGAATTATATATATATATATATAGGTGAAAAATTAAAGCTTCCACCTTTTGTTGGGTACTTCGACAAAATTTAAGCAAAGAGGACTCTTTATACTTTTTTTAATTCTCTCTAGCTTTCAATGGACTTTGCCATCATCATCAGGAGCTGTAATTACAATGATAACAGTAGCAACAATAGTGTAAAATAAATTTAATTTGACTTAACTTACAGTAGTATGTGAGGATGTTGCTAATTGTTGTTTACGTTCAGGATGAGGGAAACGCCCAGTAACACGGTGAAAGCTGGATAGATGGTACAATGGTCAAAATTATATAAAATACACACAAATATGTGACAAGAACAAGTTAAAAACAGATTAAAAATTTTTTAGAACATGAAAGCATTACATCGTGAAGCTACTTCATGATTGCACAAAATGGTGGTCATGGAATAATGAGTGAGATGAACCCTTTGACAGAAGGCCGAAGGTTGTCAATGTCTGTGTAGAAAGATGGAACGAATTGTGGGCGTGTGCCAACGTCGCCAAATCAGTTCAGATGAAGTGATTTTCAGAATGTTATGTAAGAAATTGTTAAACCGACCAGAGGCAGTTGAATTAACTATATTTTAATTAATGGGAAATTAAATTAACAATTATTATTAAATCGTGAAGAGAAAATTATTAGAATTTGAGTGGAATGAAGTTTATTGGTGGAATCGACCAAGAAACAGATTCCATTTATGGTTGTGAAGAGTCAAAATTTGGGGAGATATGTAAGTTCTCCAATATTCCGCAGTTTAGCAAATATGAGTAAATGACACTCAGTTGCTTAACATCTGTCTTTTTGTTGATACAGTTGTTATTCATGAAAATGTGGGACATTTCCAGGAATAAACGTTTGGATAAGTGTTTTTCTTTATCAAGAACTTTGATACTTGTGTAATTCATAGAGTGCCCTGTTGTGTTAACATGAGATGTTAGAGCGCATCTTTCAGGATGAAGCCTAGAATCACTTTTGTGTGATGTAATCCTTCCTTTAAGAGATCTGGAGGTCTGACCTATGTATATTTGGTTGCAGTTGTTGCAATTGATGGAGTAGACTGTGTTGGTTAAGCCAAGTAGCGGGACTTTGTCTTTCAATTTTGAAAAAATGCAGTTTATAGTGAGGACGGATTTGCAAGCAATTCGAAAGTTTAAAGGACTGCACAATCTGATCAGCTTAGGGGTCAGTTCCTTGATAGGTAGGACAGCAAAACCAGGTCTGGAGTTTGGGTTGGTGTTTGTACTGTTTGAATTGATGTTATTGTTGGGAATTCTGTCAGTTCTGTTATTAGGGGTTGTGCGTCTATTACATGTATCATTAGAGTTTGGCAAAATATTGGAAGGTGAACTAAATAAGATCTTGTTAATCAGACACTTCGGATAACCATTATTGATGAACAGTTTTGATAGTTTACGTAAATTTGAGGTGTGGAAAGTATTGTCTGAGATGCTGATTACCCTTGTTTTCATCTGTTTCACCAAGTTGATTTTAAACCCTAGCTTATGGTATGACCTAAAATTGAGAAACCGACCTGAGGCCATAGGTTTCTGGTACCAGTCTACCAATAAACTATTGTTGTGGATGCGGATAAGTCTTGTGCTAAACTGCGAAAAATTGGAGAACTTACATATCTCCCCAAATTTTGACTCTTCACAACCATAAATGGAATCTGTTTCTTGGTCGATTCCACCAATAAACTTCATTCCACTCAAATTCTAATAATTTTCTCCTCACGATTTAATAATAATTGTTAATTTAATTTCCCATTAATTAAAATATAGTTAGTTCAACTGCCTCTGGTCGGTTTAACAATTTCTTACATAACATTCTGAAAATCACATCATCTCAAGTGATTTGGCAACATTGGCACACGCTCACAATTCGTACCATCTTTCTACACATACATTGACAACCTTCGGCCTTCTGTCAAAGGGTTCATCTCACTCATTATTCCATGACCACCATTTTGTGCAATCATCAAGTGGCTTCACGATGTAATGCTTTCATGTTCTAAAAAATGTTTCATCTGTTTTTAACTTGTTCTTGTCACACGTTTGTGTGTATTTTATATAATTTTGACCATTGTACCATCTATCCAGCTTTCACCATGTTACTGGGCGTTTCCCTCATCCTGAACGTAAACAACAATTAGCAACATCCTCACATACTACTGTAAGTTAAGTCAATTTAAATTCCTTTTACACTATTGTTGCTACTGTTATCATTGTAATTGCAGCTCCTGATGATGATGGCAAAGTCCATTGAAAGCTAGAGAGAATTAAAAAAAGTATAAAGAGTCCTCTGCTTAAATTTTGTCGAAGTACCCAACAAAAGGCGGAAGCTTTAATTTTTCACATAACTGGTCTAGACGACAATGACCACGTCTCAAAATATATATATATATATATATATATATATATATATATATATGTATATATATATATATATTCGTTTCCTCAGGTTACACCCGTATCCGGATGTGTGGGCATGTGTACCTACTTTTGTAGTTGCATATGTGCATTTATTTCGGGCCTGATGAAGCCAACCAGCAGAAATACGTATCGCTCGGGTTACCTATCCTATTTTCTGCTCGAATCCACTTTTTGCGGATTTTGCCCATTATTTTCCTATTTTTGTTATATACCTTTCTCCGCATGATAATTTTCTCTTTATATATATATATATATATATCATATATGAAACCATACCATAATGACTGCTAGCTCACACTGAAATCAAATGGCGGCACACAACGACTTTCGGTGTTGCCGGTATCACAAACACAAGTAATTTTTCCTTATTCCTTATGTACGGTGAAATCATCACAAACGAACGTATACGTGGTAGCCATGGATGGCCTCAATAAAATATTTTTGGCGAATATATCCGTCATAATCAACCTGGATAAAAAATATTTTGGCGAATATATACGTCATTGCCACTTAAGGGGTTAAAGAAGAATTTCAAATATATGTGGTTTCTTTGGCCAAACAAACATGGGGATTATTGACATGGAAGCCACAGGATGGGTTCCAGATTTACATTAAATTTCACTGTTAACTGGAAATGATCAGCTTTTTGGACCATGTTCAAGACTAAAGCGCCTCACATGTGATTGTCACATAATGATATTTTAAGAAAAGTCGAAACAAAGCAGCTACTTAAAAGATCTCTCATGCGCATGCGTTTTGAAAACGATCCTATAGGAAAACAACTTTTCTCAAACAGGAAATAGATCTTCTAGATGTCATCAGCAAAAAAAGGTTTACTGTACAAAGCGCAGGAGTCTTCAAAAGAAACTTATTTCTCGAACAGGCATCCTCATATTTCGTCACGGTGGCTACCTTCCTGTTAACACAAATCCCAGCGGCAGTATTTTTGTATTATCTCATTAACGTTTTATTAGTTTTGGTGTCCAGTGTACACAACTAGAGTGTTGGCACTTTGTGAAGGAAAATCGCAACATTTTTTGTCCGGTCATTTTTGCCTATATATGCGTTCGATTTACGTTTCGATTCGGGATTTACGATTCGTTTCAATTAAAATCTCTTCATATATATTTTTGACGCATTTTGCACACGCAGCAGGTTGAAGGTGAATTGCGATAGAATCGATGTTATTTGTCCGCGAAAACACAGCAGCATGACCGACTGAAATCGAAAAAACGCTTTAAAATGGGTTGTCACCATATATGACGCTGTCAGTTCCAAAATCATTATTTATTTACTCGTATATTGGAATGAATATATACTAAGTGGCATATAAATCCGAACACCCAGTTTAAATGGTTTTATTTTAATAAAAGTTGGTGAATGTATTTATCTTACTGTAAATAACAAGTGAAAAAATTTTTAGCCTTATCAGTTGGACATTCCGGTTTTTATACTGCTTCTTTTTAATTCACTAACGCTCTAAAAATGAATATTTCAGCCGCAGTAAAGAATCAACGTTGGCGGATTTTGGTTCTTGACATCCTTTACGATCGGTTACGATGCCTAGAGTACGGAGACCCGTACGATTTCGTCAACTTAGTGAGTGTGATAGGGGCCGTATAGTGGGACTTCGGGAAGCTGGACTTTCTTTTCGGGCAAATGCAGTTAGAGTGCAAAGAAGTGTAGACACTGTGGTTAGGTGTTGTCAGGCATGGCTTCGAGAAGGCCGTACGCAAAGAGCAAGGGGCACTGGACGCCGCCGTAGAACAACAGACCGTGAAGATCGCCGCCAAAGATTATTGGCCTTAAGGGACCGTTTCTCCACTACCAGGTCCATTGCAAATGAATGGTTTGCAGAACACGGAAGACCTATTGGCATGCGAAGTGTTGACCGACGAATGAGAAGTTTTGGCTTGTTTTCATACCGGCCACACTGGGTCCTCCCTTTAACTCGAGAACACCGACGTAATCGCCTTGAGTGGTGCAGACAACGGTCACTCTGGGATCAGGAATGGGACAGTATTGTCTTTAGTGACGAGTCTCGATTTTGTTTAGACATGCACGATGGTCGTGCGAGGGTTAGAAGGCAACGTGGTGAAAGGAGGAATCCACAGTTTTTTGTTGAAAGACATGTTCATCACACTGTTGGAGTTATGGTTTGGGGTGCTATAGCTTATGGTTCCAGGTCACCTTTAATCTTCATCAGAGGTAACATGAACGCGCAGCGTTATATCCACGAAGTTCTAGAACCCCATCTTTTACCCTATCTTGACGCCCTGGCAGATCCAACTTTCCAACACGATAATGCCCGACCACATGTTGCAAGAGTCACAATAGACTACTTACAACATAATGATGTCACATTGTTACCATGGCCACCAAGATCTCCCGACTTATCCCCAATTGAGCACGTGTGGGATATGATGGGTAGGAGATTGCTCAATTTGCAACGTCCTCCTCAGACTCTAGAAGCACTTCGAG